AGTCCCGGGCCGTTGTCGGTCTTAATTGCCTTCGGGACTCCCAGTGTCGCGAACGCCATGAATAAGTGTTTTTTCGCATCTTTCGTCTTCTCTCCAGTATGGAGAGAGGCGAAGATGGCACCTGAAAATGTGTCTATTGACACGTGTATGTATTTGAGGCGGCCAAAAGCGTTGTAGTGTGTCACATCCATCTGCCACAGCTCCAAAGCTCCCAGTCCCCGGGGACTGACCCCTGACGCCACTGGTGGAAGGGCGAGGGACTGACAGCTGGGGCAAGTGGCGAGGATGGCCTTGGCCTGCTCTTTGGAAATCTTGAACTGCCTTGCAAGGGCAGGAGCGTTCTGATGAAAAAACGCATGACTGAGCCTTGCCTGTGCAAAGATGTCTGGGATGGTATTAGTAATCGAATGTACCGAAGGAGAGGTGGTGGCGATAACCGCTGCTAAATGGTCTGCCCTCCGGTTACCCTCAGCGATGGCTCCTGGCAGGTCTGTGTGCGCCCGGACGTGCATTATGTGATAGGGTTGCTCGCGGTGGGAGATCAGCCAAATTAATTCCGTGAGCAACCCGAACAATTTTTTGTTTTGAATTTCTTTGAGCATGGCATGTTCTGCCCGCTCTGCTATCCCGGCCACATACGCTGAATCAGTAACTAGATTGAAAGGCTGTTGGAATTTTTTGAATGCTCTCACGACCGCCGCAAGTTCTGCGATCTGGGGGGAACCCTCAACAATTTGGATATCAGACTCCCACTTCTGACTCTCCGGGTCCTTCCAAGTGATCACTGATTTGTGGGATTTTCCCGACCCATCAGTGAACACTGTGAGAGCATCTTTTATTGGTGTTTTACTTTTGTAGGATTTTGGGGCCAAATAGAAGGTATCCTTAAACAGTTTATGTTTAGGATAATGTATTGAGATCTGGCCAGGATAGCTGTCTAAGGAAATTTGGAGGTTTTCATTTGTTTGTAGAAGAGACTCCAATTGCTCCAGATTTAAAGGGACATAAATGCACGCCGGATCGCACCCTGCGAGGGTCCGGAGGCGTTGCCTGCCTTTAATGATGAGTTTGGCCATCAATTCAGCGGGTGTGGAGATGGTCTTTGGGGGCTGGTGCGGAAGGAACAGCCACTCGATGATGAGGAGTGGGTCCTTACGCCCAGCATCCCACTGAAACAGCAACCCATGGAAGTTTGGGCACTTACCCAAGATGGCAAGGGTAAGGGGAAGGACCCGGTCCACACGGTGCGCCTGGCGGGATCTGATGGCCTCCGCAACTCTCTCCAGGGCTCTCTTCGCGGCAGGTGTCAGCTCGCGTGGAGAAGCCAGGTCGCCGTCTCCTCTCAGGAGTTCGAAGAGGGGCGCCAGTTCCTCCGTGGTGAGTCCCAGGAGAGGTCGGATCCACGTGATGGTGCCGCAGATCTGCTGCAGATCCCGCAGGGTCCGTGGGTCGTCTTTGATGGTCACAGACTGGGGCGCGACGGTCCTTCCCGTGATGGTGATGCCCAAGTACTTCCATGGGGCGGAGAGCTGGATCTTCTCCTCCGCAATCTGGAAACCCGCATCCTTGATGGCTTTTATTGTCTTATCAAGTGCTGCGCGGAGGTAGGTGGTCGTCTCCGCGCAGACAAGGACATCGTCCATGTAGTGCAGGATGATGGCTTCAGGGAAAAGTCGGCGGACTGGCGAAAGAACCTGTGCTACAAAGGTTTGGCAGAGCACTGGAGAATTTTTCATTCCCTGGGGCAAGGTGGTCCATTGATACCTTTTATAAGGTTCCGCCCGATTGATGGATGGTACGGAAAAGGCGAACCTGGGGGCATCTCCAGGGTACAGGGGGATGTTAAAAAAGCAGTCCTTGATGTCAATGACTGCGAGCTGCCAATCCCGGGGAAGCATGGAGGGTGAGGGAAGCCCAGGTTGGAGGGGGCCCATGTCTTCAATGACATCATTTACCCTGCGGAGGTCCTGGAGCAGGCGCCACTTGTCTTTGCCTGGTTTCTTAATCACAAAGACAGGGGTGTTCCAAGGGCTGGTGGAGGGTATTAAATGCCCAAGGCGCACCTGCTCTTCTACAAGTTCGTTGAGCGCATTTAATTTTTCCTCCACAAGGGGCCACTGATCCACCCACACCGGAACATCGGTCTTCCAATTCAACGGTGGGGAGGTGCGCTCCGCAGTGGCCCACACTAAAAATCCCACGCAGGGCTAGGGATGTCAAGGCGGGCACCCCACTGGGACAATACGTCCCTGCCTAATAGCATGATGTTTGAAGAAACCACAAACGGTCGAATTGTGGCAATCTGTCCCTCAGGTCCCTCCACACTTACCAAGCGTCGGCTACGCATGGAATTGACAGCTCCGCCCACTCCGGAGATTGTGCCACAAGGGGGCACCAACTCCCAGTCGCGGGGCCACTTTGACCTGGGAATGATGGTGACATCCGCCCCAGTGTCTGCCATTAGGTCCATCGCCACCGACTTTCCCTGTAAAGAAAGCACAGTCCGAATTATAGGTCTTTCTTTAGTTACATTTTGAGTCAGAAAAACATGAATGTCCTGTCCAGAGTTCCGTTCAGAGAGGTCGTTTGAGTCCAGCAGATAGAGCAGGGCGAAGGGGAGTCCTCTGCCCAAGGTGTAGGGGGGCTCATGGCAGGTGACCGAGACCGTTACCTCGGACCCCGGTGGGACACACACCACTTCAGGGATGATGGAAATCCTGTCGGGTGTGTGCCTTGCGTCTCCGACGATGAGGACGGTCGCTTCGCCCTGGCAGTGAGGGGGCTCCAGGAACCCCGCGGGGACTCTCACCAGGTCCTCATCCTGGAAGGTGACAGTCATGGAGCTCTTGAGGACCCGGCGGCGGCCAGGATCTAAGTTGGCCGTTCTTCGGAGGAGGCGAAGTCCGTCGTCGGTGCTCCGCCAATCCTCCGAAACTGTCCCCTGAGCCATTGGTCCTCCCGGATAGTAGGGAGGCTCGGGCGCTGAGAAGGGCCATTTGTTGTCCTCACGCGGCCCCTCCTCGCGCTCCGCGGCCCGTTTCCCGCCGGCTGGTATGGCGGGAAAGAGTTCCTTGGTGGGGGTCTTGGGGAAGGCATATACGGGTTGTAGAACTGCTCCGGGGGCCAGTGTGGACAGTTCGCTTGTATGTGACCCATCTGGCCACACCCGAAGCAGCGCACAGTGTTCATATTTAACATTGCCTCCCCCACCCCTTTACTCACTGCCATTGCGACCGTTACCTCTGTAGATGTTGCTTTGACGCATGCCTCCACCATCTGGGAGATGGTGGGCTCGGGGTCCTGCGGTAACGCCCTTAAGATCTTCTTGGTCTCCGCAGAAGCGTTGGTCACTGCCATCTTTCGGAGGAGCTCTTCCCTCGCCGCAGGGTGCTCTATCTGTTTCTCTATGGCCTCTCTGAGGCGGTCGACAAATTTGATGAATGACTCGTCCGGTCCTTGTAAGATAGTAGAAAAGCTTTGGGAGGGAGTTCTGCCGTCCGGGATTTTCAGCAGCGCGGCACGGCCAGCCTCTCTGATGTCATCGAGGAGCGCAATTGGTAGTTGGATTTGGTCCTCTGGCTGGCCGAACTCTCCATCTCCCGCAACAGCCTCCATTACCTCATCACCCGTGCCCAGGGTCGCTGCTAGGTTGTGCTTTATAATGAGAGGTTTCAGCAGCTTTTTCCACTGAACCTCCCAAAGCAGCAGTTCCGTGGGGGACAACAGGGATTTGGCAATGTACTTGATATCATGCTGTACCAGTGTCCGTCCGGAAAAAGTAAGGTCCAGTACATTTTTAAAGAATGGCGACTCGCGGCCATAGTCCTTTGCCGCTTTCCTCAGCTCCTTCACCTCAGCGTATGGTACTTGCTCCCACCGGGGCCGCTTTCCCCTCTCCCTTATCACCGGTGCCGCAAAAGGCCCAAGGTCACGGGCGAGGTCTAAGTCCCCGTCCTCGATGGCCGCTGCCCGTATCTTAGCCCACCCGTCTCCCGACCTAGGTGTGGGCCGGGGGCTGTCCCTGTCCTCATCCTCTTCGGAGGATGAGGCAGGACGGGTGAGGGCCTTGAACCTCTCCCTGACCGTTGGGCTCCGGTGGCGTGGAGCCCCGCAGGCCAAGATGGCCTGCTTCCGGCCAGGCCTACTTCCGGTTCCGGTAGCGTGGGAACCGGAAGTGGCTGGAGAGGGAGAGGCGGGACTAGGCCCACCTCCCGGGGCGGGGCCTTCCGGCAGGGAGTTCCCACCCACAGGGGCGTGGCCTTCCTGTAGGCCGGTCCCTCCCACCGGGGGTCCACCCAGGGGCGCGGTCAAGGGGACGGAAGGGGCGGGTCCCGACGATGACACCATCGACGCATCTGATGGGGCGGGACCCGACGCAGGGGCGGCACTCGACGGAGGCGGGGTCAATGGGGAAATGGCGGGAACCCGAGGGGAGTAGGGAGGAGCTGGGACGCCATTTTGTGGCGCTTCTGATGCCAGCTCGGCCATGCGGCCGGCGCCATTTTGTGATTGATGCTGGCACAGATTAGGAATTGAACAGCAAGGTTTTAAACTGGGGACAGGGGTCTGAGGGTCTTGGGACGAGGAAAGGGTCGAACTGGGGTGGCCAGTCCCAGGTCGAAAAGAGGACAGGATGGGACGGGGAGCAGCAGGGAGACGGTGGCAACCCTGTGCCGGACTTTGGCAGGGTCTGCTGCCCGACCCACCCTTAGGGGAAAAGGGGTTAGGAGTGGGGGGGACGGAATGAGGGTTAGGAAAACTGGGGGCCCAACTCTCCCGTTTTTGTTTAAATAACGTAAAAATAGAATGAAATAAAGGAAAGAAACGTCCCACTTTAAAATTTCCCTTAACTTGTAAATCGTATAATAAACGCCCAACTTTTCCCCAAAACTGAACCGAGTTAAAATCTTCCTGCGCAGTGTCAGGAAGGTGGTCAAAAATTAAATTAATTAAGGCTTTTAAATCCCTTTTTTTAAAGGAAATGTTTCCCAGAACGAGGGAAGACTTAACATGGGAATAAAAATCCCGCCGAGCCGGAGACATACGGTTTCCCATTATGTCAAGAACGGCTAAAAAATTCCCCAAGGAGACAAAGGAGAAACAGAAAAGGAAAAGAGACGGGGTCAGGTGCCAGACGGGGCACGAAAAACTCACCACAAAGGACGCCCGTCGAAAAGAAGATAGCCTCAAAGGGGGGTGGAAGCGCTGCAGGTCCGGAGTGCGAGGGAGCTTCCGCGAAGCTGCTGTTCCTGCTCCTCCGGGTGTCTGCAGCCCACGAGGCGAGGGGTCTTCCGAAAACGAAGCACCGTCGTCCGTGGAACCACGTCCGAACGGCGCTTGATTTCCTCGGGCAGCCGGCTCACGGAGTCGAAGCTGTCGAGGAGACGCTCTCCGCTTGACTCCGTGCAGGGGTCAGCGTGTTCGGGCGCCAGTTATAGCGTGGGCCGGTCCGCTCCGACTGAGTCGGGGACTTCGGCCACACTTTGATGGTAATAAAGAGAGTCTTCCACCAGGCGGGGTCTCTCAGGCTGCTTTATTCCGAGGGTTAATCGAGGGAAGGCGGGGAGGGTGAAGGAAAGCAACCACTCAGAGGGCGAGCCAGCTCTGAGAGCCCCGAACCAGGGCGGGGCAGGGTATATAACAGTTACAGGGGAGGAGGGTCAAGGGGTAGAGCATCCAACCGGGTGAGGGTATGAGGGCGGAGTCAGCGGAGAGTGACATGGCAACGGCCAACTGGGATAAGGGGAAGGAGTGGTTTCGGGGGAGGAACCAATGGGGGTACAAAGAACTTAGAACTTTCCAGAACAAAGGGAAGGGGAACAAAATGATTGACATAAACTGGGGGAAGGGAGAACAGATGACAGACAACTTGGGAGGCGGGAAAGCTACACATCTGTGGCCTCCCATGGCAATGCAGGGAGGTCACTAGCCACACCCCCTCCCACACCTCCCTCCCTCCCTCCCCTCCCCTCCCCCCCCCCCCCTCCCCTCCCCTCCCCTCCCCTCCCCTCCCCTCCCCTCCCCTCCCCTCCTCTCCTCTCCTCTCCTCTCCTCTCCTCTCCTCTCCTCTCCTCTCCTCTCCTCTCCTCTCCTCTCCTCTCCTCTCCTCTCCTCTCCTCTCCTCTCCTCTCCTCTCCTCTCCTCTCCTCTCCTCTCCTCTCCGTTGCCATGTAACCAGAGTGTGAGCTCTGCATCCTGCACTGTTCCCATGGACATTTTTGTCTCTGTGACTCTCCTGTGGGACACTTTGCCACACTCACTTGAGGCAAACCTGCCACAGGAGGAGACACAGCCATAAAGGGTGTGACAAGGATCGCTGGTGTTCAGGCAGACAGCTCAGCAGCAATATTTGCACGGGACTGACTTACTGTAATGAGTGAGACAACCCTCTATCCTGAACTTGTATTATCAAGGTCAGCCTTTTTTTACTGCTCAGAAAATTCAAGCACTATGATGACATCACTCCTACCTTCCAAATCACAACACTAATTAAGAGAAATTCTATGACGTGAGACCTGCTTCTGCCTCAGGGCATGTCAGCGATACATCCTCCTCCCCCACCCAGTTATGCTTTGTGCGTGGTCTGCCACAATTTCCCCACATCAACTTTTCTGTGTTTTTTATTGTTCTTTGAAAGGCAGCATGGTGGAGACTGTAAATCATTTAATCTTCATCCCTCTCTTCCTCCTCTCCATACATCTTCCTTTACATGCCTGGGTGTGCAGGTGTAAGTGAGGCAGGAATTTACAGACTGGCTGTAAGAATGCTGCCCTTCACCTGCATCTTCCCTGGTATTCATTGGCCAAAGCCTGAAACTAAGAGAGCATTGAAAATGAAAATGCTGAAAGGAATAAATTTGCTTATTGTGTTTTGACAGGCTCAGGCTCAGAAAAATGAATGTACACTCCTGAAAGAACAATTGCTAAAATCAACAGCAATAATCTGATTGTCTTCAGTGACCCCTCAGTGATGCCTTTTCTGCCTAGGGATCTGTTATAAAAATAAGATCTCTGCAAATGCATACAAATAAGGTACTTGCATTGCTTTGACTTAAAAGCTGTCTCAGAAATATTTCCTTTTGACTCTGAGTCCTGATTATAATTATACTATACTTTCACACTGCATTTATTTCTGGTATAGCATCATTACCATGACAACCCCAAATTATGTCAGTATATACACGTGTTTGAGATAATTCTTTATTAATGAATAAAAAAAAAGAAAACATTAATCAAGAACAGGGCTAGAGAGCACTGTCTATGCCATACACACAACAGAACATTTGTACAAACCTCAGAGCATTTTTTCCCAAAATTGCAATAAAGGAAAATTAATTAATTTTTTTTTTTTTATTTATTTAGCCTTTCTTGTTTGATTTAGCTGTAGTCCTAGAAGAAAGCTTGGCTGATGTCAGCTGTATTACAGCAGGTTTGGATTTCACTCATGGGGAGCATAATTTTTCCTTTACACTGAGCAATCAAATTTGCTCTGTTTGCCTCCTGCAGCCAGACTTGACCAAGTGCCCTTGCTGCAGTGCCCTTGGTTAGGAAGAGGTAAAGAAAGAAAAGGTCTGAACTCAGCATTTTTGGCTCTGCAGAGATCCAGGAGCTGTCACAAGGAGATGAGAAGGAGTCCCCTTTCACCATTTTGTTAATGTCTTTCTCCCCTCCACCACCAAGGAACTGCTTCTGTCTCTAGAGATGTCCACAATTCTGCACTGTAAACATCTCTGCCTCTTTGTGCAGATTAGATAAGATGTTATTGACCATCAATGCTCTTAAGAGCACTCTGGAAAATGAAATGGTATCACCATTCAACTCCTTGCAGGACCATCTGTGAGAAGGGTTTTTGTGCAAAACTGGATGAAGCAGTAGTTTTAATCTTGGTGTAGGTTTCTGGGGGCTATCCAGCAGTCTTGCAGACCTCTGACTCTTCACAGAACAGAGAAAAACATATATTTCATTATTATGATTATTATAGTGATAATAAATGATAGACGTTATTAATAATAATGATGCAGTCAAAGTATTACAAGGTTGCTTTTATTGATCTGCAAAAATTAAAACATCGACCTTTTCCTCAGTCTGATTTTGTAAAAGCCAGCTTTATTTGCCTCAATAAAGTGGCTAAACAGCAAGTAGGGGATGGTAACTACACAAAAATGGGAGGAAAAATCAAATGTCAGATAAGAATTGCTTCAACAAAAGAACATAAAACCATCTTTTAAGTCATTTAAAGAGTCAAAGTAAGGTGGTGAAGGAAACCTTTACATAGATTTTCTTTTTTTTTTTTTTTTTTTTTTTTTTATTATGAACTTAGCCTCCTCTTTATGTCAAAATCAATGAGAATTTTGAGTCCTAGCAATTATTCTGTGGTTTTTGTCTTCTCTTTTTTTGTCTCTGTTCATTTGATACAATAGAATGTGAGCATACCTTTCTGATCATTTATGCCACATACAGGGAAAATGATAAGGTTAAAGCAAAAAGGCCTCTCGACAGTCATTTAAGGGTAGAGAAGCTCATAAAATAGGGAAGCATGACAGCCTTTCTCTATGGCTCTAAATAACACCCTTGCCAAGATAAACCCATATTGATTAGACTGATTGTAGATAGCTGGCTTTTCAGCACCATCTGCATGCTGTGGCAGTCTATGGCTCTAATTATTTGGGGTTGTTATTCAGGCTTTTAAATTGTATGAAGGATTTTGTTTTCCATCAAGTCATTCTTCATTCAGCACTGATAGCATCATAATTAAGTAGCAGTCAGTGGCTCTGAATGTGGATGATTCATATGAATTATTTCTAATAAACAAAACACGTAGAAGGCATTAAAAGCCATCCATAAAACAGAGTCTCTTGCCTGTGTGCTGCATCCACTCCCTCTGACACACCTTAATCAGACCAAAAGCAGAGAAGGTTCACAGACCATGTTTCAGCTTTCCGTCTCTGTGAGCTTTGTTAGGGGTGTGAAACATACTAAGCTAAGACACCTGCTCCCTCTTAACAAAGAAGTTAAGTGCTCCAGGAACACATGGACAGAAGGAAGCAAAGATGTGTCAGAGCCATAAACTAGCAGTAAGTCAGTATCAGTTTATCATGAACATACACTGAAAATCAGCAATCACTTTGTGATTATTTACCACAAAATGTATTAGCTTATTCAATGTCAAGTACACAAAGGACTATTAGTTCCATTCATCCTCCAAGGGCACAGTAAATAACTGGGAAGTCCAGAACTGATCAGTTGCCATCTCCCAGTCATGAAAGTACCAAGCATGAGGAGATTAAAGTTATAAAAGACCTTCTACATGCACCATGTCACAATAATTGCACTCAGCTTTCAATGACCATTTAACAGTCTTTCTTATAAGGTAAATATTGGTGTTTTCTGCAAACCTGAACAGACAGACACTGTGAGATGATGTAAAAGGGTCTTGTTGGCCTATAGGTTCTATGAACTCTCAAATTGGATGGTAGAATTTTTCTGCAGGGGGGTTGTTAATACAAAATTTTACTTTAAGAGCCATATGTGCAAGACTGGCTTTTAGGAACTTTATAGCAATAGTGGATTAACTGACTTTTTCAATCTTGAATACTTCCTGGCTTCAAAATCTATCACTCCCTAAGAAGAAGACAATATGCCTTTGGAGAATGTATATACCCTTTCAATCTAAGTAAATGTAATGCTTCTAAATTTTGCTCTGGTTATAAGTATTTGACTCAGTAGCACATATGCATAGGCTGTTTTTGTCCTTGATTCATTCAATCTAGAAGGCAGTTTAGGGCAGTGAGTTTTGTCCATATTTGTCATATTTACATTTATTCAGTTAATTCCACTGGAGAAAATGTTGTCTGTTTTTAGCCCTTCTATTTAAATTTAATCAAACTGAATACTACTGGATATTATGTGGTTATATGGATTCACTGTAAGGCTATTATATATAATGTATTAGATTACTGAACAACTGCAGCAAACATATTTGAAGCTTACCATTGTAAATTGTGTACAATTTTTTTTTCTACATTGTATTAAATGAGAGCAGCTTCTTTATGTAGTTGGGAATCTCATGTTTCTGCTATTTTTGGACCTGATGCTTATCCCCTGCCCTGACTAAAAAAAAAAAAAAAAAAAAAAAAAAAAAAAAAAAAAAAAGGCAGTTTAATTTCTTTCTTATTTGTATCTTTTCTTCCACACAGGTAGTTTGGGACTTTAAACCATAGACTGTGTCATCAGCTAACCTTCATCTCATTAAGCAGGTTCTCAAAGGATTGCTTTGTTCTGCAGAACACATCCCATTTTCCACCTTCATTAGCAAACTGTTAAATATTCTACTTTGTCACAAGACTGGAATGCATAAACAGTTGCTTCTTCCTGACTGTCTCTTCCAAATATGTTCTGGTAATCCTCAAGGAAAAGATGGATTTCATTCATTTGTTACTGATGATTGGCAGAGATGTAAGACAATAAGGAAAAGAGAAAACAAATTCTTTTAAAGCAAGAGCTTGTATGTGTGTAAATATTGTGTTTA